GAGCGTCCTGGGCTATACACAACTTATCTCACCTTGTATGATTTAATCTTCATGGACACCTGAGAGATATGCGTTAGTGTGCCCTTTGTATAGATGAGGAGACAGAGACTCGAGGTTAATTAACTTGCCTAGGTTCACACAAGTCGGCCAGTGGCAGGGCAGGAATGCAAACCCAGGTTATTGGGCTCAAACGCCTGCGAGTCTTCCAGACTGTCCTGTCGACTCCCCCATACCCTTACCCGAAGAGGCAAAGTGATCTATGCGGGGACACTCAGTGACAGAGCAGGGACTGCATAACGAACTCTCTCCTTCCGCCTCTCTCCCCTTCCTCTCCTTCCTAGCTTATCACAGGTGACTTGGGCTCCCGTCTCTGGGATGGTTAAGGTCGAGATCCTGGTACTGATGCTCTTCAGAGAGAGACTTGCATCGCTGTGGGCCGTGGCAGGCTGGGACTTTTGTTCCCTCAAGACTGTGACAGGGCAGGGAGAGGAGCTGCTCTTCTCAAGCAGGGGAGGGGCAGAGGGAGGCAAAAGAGGTGCCCAAGGACCCTCTCCCTAAAGGTGAGACCCAGGGAGGTGCTCTCCAGGAGGGGCCCATCGGGCCTGGGCTGTCGCCTCTCCATCAACAGATGGGTCAAGACAGGCCGGGCGCGGTGGCTCACACCTGTAATCCTAGCACTCTGGGAGGCCGAGGCGGGCGGGTTGTTTGAGCTCAGGAGTTTGAGACCAGCCTGAGCAAGAGCGAGACCCTGTCTCTACTAAAAAATAGAAAGAAATTATCTGGACAACTAAAAATATGTAGAAAAAAATTAGCTGGGCATGGTGGCGTGTGCCTGTAGTCCCAGCTACTCTGGAGGCTGAGGCAGTAGGATCGCTTGAGCCCAGGAGTTTGAGGTTGCTGTGAGCCAGGCTGACGCCACGGCACTCACTCTAGCCAGGGCAACAGAGTGAGACTCTGCCTCAAAAAAAAAAAAAAAAAAAAAAAAAACAAATGGGTCAAGAGGAGGCCAACTAAGGGCCAGTGCCCAACACCTGCAGTTGAGTCAGATGCCTGTGAGAATGGAAGCGCCCTTGTCTGGGCAGGGTTATCTGGTGGGCACCAAGCCCAGGTGAAAGACTGACACCTCCAAGCCAGCTTGGCTGGTCACCAGGAGCTATTTTCTTTGTTACCAAGTGCTGTGCTAGGGCCAGGACAGGCCGTGGGGAGGCTGGGCGGGGGTGGGGCAGGTTTCCTAACACAAAGGCATCCGCAGCACTGGCTGGGGTACTGCTGGGGATTAAGTGTGGATCGAAAAGGCCATCCAAGGTCAAAGGGAGAAGATGTCCTTGGGCAACACTGTCCAACAGAAATATAATAGAAACTACATGAGAGATTAAACTTTTTTTAGTAGCTACATTTAAAAGTATAAAAAGAAACAGGTGAATTGAATTTTAATAATGTATTTTATTTAACCCATCCTATCCAAAATATTTCAACTTGTAATCAATAACCAATTATTAATGAGCTATTTTACGTTCTGTTCTGCATAGTAAGCCGCGGGAACCTGGGGTGTGTTTTGCATTCAGGACACTACCATTGGGACTGGACACATTGCAAGTGCTTAGTAGCCACACATGGCAAGTGGCTGCGGTCTTGGGCGGCACAGTCCCAGAGTTCATTAGGACAGATGATCACCTCTGCTGCCATCCTCAGCTCGGGGATGGATAGACGTTGTTCACCATCTTCAATGCAGGAGGGCTTGTGTCCTGCTCATCTGACCGTGCTCCCTGCTGACAGTGCTCCCAGCCGTTTGACAATGCTCCCGTGCTCCCTGGTCTGTGCTCCCTGTGATCTGACTGTGTTCCCTGCAGTCTGACTGTGCTCCCATGGTGGTCTGACCGTGCTCCCTGGTCTGACTGTGCTCCCTGCCGTGGCTGCGTCTATGGCTGCTGCTGGGGTCTCTGGGCTGCCATGGGCAGAAAGGCTTTGAGGTAGGAGCTGGCAGGCCATGAAGTTGGGACAGGACGAAGGAGAAAAACCCCCCAGGGCCCAAGTCCAGAGCGAGGAGGGACCGGTGGCCACGGTGGGTGTGGGCGAGGTGGTGCAGAGCCGGCAGATCAGAGGCCCACAGGCTGGCATTGTGCGCCTGTCACACTTCCTTTGGCTTTATTGCTTTTGTCCAACACCCTATTGTCTAGCTTCCTTTTGTCCCCCATTCAGTGTTGCTGCCTTTTATTTTCCAGCCAGCCTGGTTGTTTTCATTTCTTTTGTCTGAAGTTCCTGAGAGGAAGGTTTTATTTTCAGCGGTTTGATTAATTCACAGCTTGAGCCCAGGGTTTGTTTGTTATGTAATTGCTGCCCTCAGCTTCAGGATAATGCCCCCTCCCCGACGGCTCCCACTCCCACTCCTCACCCCCCTGCTCGGGCCTGGCTCCCGGTGCCCGGATGGGCTGAGCCGCCTGCTTCCTGGACACTGTCCAGGTCCCGGCGGTGGGAGGGGACCCCAGGGCAAGCTGGGCTGGGGTGTCTTCTCCTCGTCTAGCTGGGATGAGGCCAGCGTCCTCAGGCCCAGGTAGGCCTCTCTCTCCTCGCCCTGCAGTGCCCTGGCCTGGGCTCTATGCCAGCCCCCTGGGTACCCTACTCTTTGATGGATGGGCAGGAGAGTCCAGTCTGGTCTGATCTGTAGGGCGGAATCAAATAAAATACACGTACAATCACGCGTCGCCTGCTGCCTGATGATGTTTCAGTCAATGTCTGACCGAATATTTGGCGGTGGTCCCATAGCGTTATGATACTGTGTTTTGACCATACCTTTTCCATGTTTAGAGATGTTTAGATGCACAGATACTTACCACTGTGCTCCAGTTGCCTGCAGTCTTCAGTACAGTAACGTGGCGTACAGGTTGGGAGCCCAGGCTCGAAAGGCTGTACCATAGAGCTAGGTGTGCAGTGGGCTGTACCATCTAGGTTCATGTAAGTGCACTCTGATGTTTGCACAATTACGTCGCCTCGTGACACATTTCTCAGAACATGTTCACATCGTTAGGTGACGCAGGACTGTATAGCGTCATCCCACTGGCTTTGCGGGAGATTGGTTCCAGGACTCCCCCCACCCCCAGGACACCAAAATCCGCTGATGATCAAGTCCCCGATATAAAATAGTGTAGTATTTGCATACAACCTACGCAAACCCTCCCCTATACCTAAATCATCCCTCTAGATTACTTATAATACCTAATACAATGTAAATGCTATGTAAATAGTTGTTACACCGTATTGTTTAGAAAATGACGACAAGAAAAAAGTCTACATGTTTAGTACAGACACAATTTTTTTTAATCCAAAGTTGGTTGAGTCCACAGATGTGGAACCACAGGTAAGGAGGACTGATTGTATATATCTTATTCAATTATAATACTGTTTTAGTTATTTGATTTCAAATACTGTACATGTACTCTACTGCATATACGGCACTGTAACACAGTGTGATTCATTATGTGTTACAAGAAACGTTTTACAGAGCTGATGCAATACACAAATATACTGCACCTGCAATTTAATTTAAGAGAGATTTCTGCCTTATATATATCCACTAAAAATTTAATCCCCAGGTAAAAAAATTTTTGAAAAATTTTATTTAACAGTGCTTCTCTAATTAGTGTACATCCGAATCACCTTGTTAAAACAGATCCCTGGCCTAACTCCCAGAGATTCTGATTTGAGGGTGGGACCCATGACTGCCTCTCAAACCAGCTGCTGGCCTAACACCACAGCACACTCCAGCCAGCAGTGGTTGTACAAACGCCAGATCAGCGCTTACTGGTGCTGCGGACTGTTCTAAGTAGCGTGATACGAGCTCATAGTCCTCGTGGCTGCCCTTCGAGGGAGGGACTGTCACGTGCTCGTTTTACGGCTGAGGAAACCGAGGTGTAGAGAGGCTAGGGCGCCTTGCCCTAGGTCACGGGGCTAGTTGAGTCGCAGAGGCAGGACCCTCGTGTAGTCAGAACCTGCTGTGTGTCCCCACTGGAACCCAGAGCACATGCCCCGATGGGACCCAGATGCTCGCCCCAGTGACTTTGGAGGGTGGGCGTCTGCTGCTTGGGCCCCGGGCCTGGCATGACCACGGGAAGCCACTCCCCAAGGTCCTGGATTGCTCCTCTAGACACCCCAGGCAGTGGCACGATGGGAGGGAGGCCACAGCGGGGAGCAGTGGGTGCGTTCTCAGGAGAGCCTGCCAGATGTGCCACCTGCGTGCACCAGGGACCGAACATTCAAATGCCTGCGAGGGCCAGACTCGAATGAGAGACTCTAGCTAGATATGAGGAAATATTTTTCTTAAATTCACTCATCTCTTAGCCAGTTATTATTTTCCCATTTTTGATGGATGCGTGAATATAAGAAATATTTCACTTTTACCTTATCTCCAGTATAAGGAAAACGATTAACGTCTTGTATAGGGTAGTCGATACCGGTTTCATTTTGGGGATAGCAGGGAGTGGTAGGGACTAAGGCAGACTGGCCTGTTCGTAAGGAGTCCAGCTGTTCGATTCCAGCCAGTTTTTGCCACAAGAGCAACCGAGCTGGAAGTTCGATTCCAGATTTGTGTGTGCTGTCTCTTGATTTTTACGTTTTGGTAACTAGTTACAAAAATACGTATGCATATACATAGACATTCAGAGACGGCGGCCAGTTAGCCGTCTCCGGCCCCCTTAGGCAGGCCCAGCAGCCTGCCAGTCCCACACTGCCCCAGGCAGGGAATGCCTAAGCTTGGGCCCACTCTTCTCTAGACCTTTCTATTTCAAAAAAGGAACAACAAAACAAAGAAAGCATGAGGGACAGAAAAGCCTTTTCTGGTTTTTGTGTGGGTTCCCAACGCCCGCTTGCATTTGTGTGAGCGAGCCTGTCAGAGGGCCCCGGGGGGTTCTGGGCGGGGGCGCAGACGGTGGAGTCCCTGCCTCCAGTGCTTGGCAGGCTGGGGTTTATCCTGCAGTTGACTCTCTTCCCACTCCCCCCGCCCCCAGGATGTCCATGAGGAGCCCCATCTCTGCCCAGCTGGCCCTGGATGGCGTTGGCACCATGGTGAACTGCACCGTCAAGTCCGAGGACAAGAAGGAGCCTTGCCATGAGGCCCCCCAGGGCGCAGCCGCCGCTGCTGAGCCCCAGCCCGCAGACCCCGCCCGGACCCCCCAGGATGGTGCAGACCCCCAAGCTCCAGCCCAGGTGCCTAGCACTTTCCCAGGGGCTCCTGGGTCAGTGTCCCTCCCCTGCCTGTGTCCATACCTGGCAGCCCCACTCCCCCAGCTGGGCAGCAGGTGCAGGCAGAGAGCTGCATAGGCGGGTGGGGAGGGACGGCCAAGCTCAGTCTGAGGCTGGGAGCCAGGCCACCTGTCAGAGCTGGGCGTGGGCTCACTCCTGCACTCACGCACTCACAGATGTGTGACCCAGGCCTTGCTCCTGAGGGCTAGTTGGGGAGACGGCATGCACCCACTAAAAATTGGCTTCAAAGTAACCTGTCAGCTTTTTCATGTGATTTAAGAAAACCAGCCATATTACCCAAGCAAGAGCTAAATCACTGTTAAAGACGATACAGTTCCTCACCCTTAAAATGAGGGAATTGAACTGATCAATAAGGATTCTTGCAGCTCTTAAAAATTCTACGATTCCATGCAGGAGATGTAAAAAGGGAATGTATATAATTAAAAGCCAAATGAGGACCAGGCCCAGCGGCTCATGCCTATAATTCCAACACTTTGGGAGCCCAAGGCAGTAGGAACACTTAAGGCCAGGAATTCAAGACCAGCCTGGGCAACATAGCAAGACCCTATCTCTACAAAAAAATTTTAAAATTTAGCCAGACGTGGTGATGCGCACCTGTAGTCCCAGCTACTTGGGAGTCTGAGGCAGGAAGCTTGCTTGAGCCCGGGAGTTCGAAGTTACAGTGAGCTATGATTATGCCACTGCACTCTAGCCTGGGTGACAGAGCGAGACCCTGTATCCAAAACAACAACAGCAGCAAACTGAAAAAACCAAATGAGTGAAAATTAGGAGAGTTTCTGGGTTCTAAGGAGGAATCCAGCCTGGTTTGTATGTGTTTGTACATGTCAGTGGTGATCAAGGAAGACTTCCTGGAGGAGTAGGGCCTCAAGCTAGGCCTGAAAGGATGAGAAAAGGAGCGAGGTGGAATTTCTTAAGGAGGGCTGAGGTGGGGCCCTGTGAATAACCAGCCCTGCTGGAGCAGCAGGTGGATGCAGGGAGTGCTAATTAATAGCTTTTGCCTCTGACTCCGCAGAGGCAAACCTCATTCACATGTATTAACTCCCTTGATCCCAGAAACAATCCTGCTACAGGGGCGGTATTAGTATTTCCATTTTCAGAAGAGGGAAGTGCGGTTCAGAGAAGTTCAGGGACTTGTGTGGGATCAAGCTCCTTGTGAGTCACGGAGCCTGGACTGAAACCCAGGTCTTTTATCTTCAGATCTTTTGTTCTTTTCACTGCATCAAGCGAAGTGTGAGCAAAGGTTGGGAAGGTGGGGGACGAGGGGCCTCCTGGGTGGGGCAGTGGGGCTTGGCACGACTCTGGGGTTCCTTCAGGGTGGACGTCCCTGGGTGCTCAGCCCTCCCTACAATCTGCCTCCCCTTCTCCTGGGGGTGACAGTGACAATTCAGCATGTCTTGCAGGACTGTAGCTCTCCGGAGAGCAATGGGTCCCCAGAACCCAAGAGACCAGGAGCCTCCGAGGCTGCTTCTGGAAGCCAGGAGAAGCTGGACTTCAACCGGAATTTAAAAGAAGGTAAAAGTCTGCCCTAGTTGGAGGCAGGGCCTGGGCAGGCTGTTGGGACGGCTGCTCCTCACCCTGCCGCTGTCTTCCAGTGGTGCCGGCCATCGAGAAGCTGCTGTCCAGTGACTGGAAGGAGAGGTTTCTGGGAAGGAACTCTGTGGAAGCCAAAGATGTCAAAGGTGAAGGCCGGTGCGGGGGCTGGGGGGATTCGTTTGAACCCCCTTTCCCTTCTCCTGGCCTGGCCGTGCGGTCAGGTCTGCAGGGCAGTTCTTGAGTTCTTGGCACCCTTGCACCTGTCCTGTGCCACTTGGCTCCTGCCTGGCCTTAGGGGTCATCGCTGTCCCTCACCTGGGGGGCCCCAAGCAACAGGTCCGGTTCATCCCATGCAGGAGAGACCTGGTAGGACTCAAATCCCATGGCTGTGACATCAGGCATGTCACTGCCACTTCTGGTCTAACTCTAAAATGAGGGGAAGGTTCTGCTTTGCATACATGAGCTCGTTTAACCCACAGTAACCCTGCGAAGTGCCCGTGTACAGATTTAAAAAACCCTGCAGTACAGAGAAGATGGCAACTTGCCTAACAGCTCACAGGCAGGATGGGTTGAGATGGGAAATCGAACCTAGACCTGTCTTGCTCCAAAGCCTGAGCACATCCCGCTGGGCCCTCCCATGGGATGGTTGTCCACCCTGACTCTGGGGGGACATCTAAGAGGCCCAGGGGCCTGGGGCTGAGATGTCCCACTGTCAGCATTTCCGGGGCCTGGACTTAGTGGCTAAGAGTGGGGAACGTCTAGGCCAGCTAGTTGTCAGACAGCAAGACGAGGAGCCCCTACAGGGCAAGGATCATGTCTCATCTCTGTCGCTCAGCCCCTAACAGGGCCTGGGACACAGCAATTGCTCAATAAATGTCAGGTGGATGGGTGGATGGATGGAGAGATGAACAAACAAAAAATCTCAGTGGTGGCTGTTTCACTGCGGAGCAGGGACCCAAGAGAGTCTGGCAGAGAAGGAGCTTCAGCTTCTGGTCATGATCCACCAGCTGTCCACCCTGCGGGACCAGCTCCTGACGGCCCACTCGGAGCAGAAGAACATGGCTGCCATGCTCTTCGAGAAGCAGCAGCAGCAGATGGAGCTGGCCCGGCAGCAGCAGGAGCAGGTAGGCCTGGGGGCAGGTGGGGGACAGGCTGGGGGCTGGGGCTATAGGTTTCCTGCCTCAGGCTGATTCATAAGCCCTTGCAGAGGTAGGGTACAAAAGGGACTGTGTAGGAAGAGCAGCTGGCTGCGTCCTGCCCAGCCTCCACCGCTGTCCCTGGATGCTCCCCCTACCTGCTGCCCTCCATGCTTCGCCCCAGGGAGGAAGGCAGGGCATGGTGAGGGCCAGGCAGGCCTGTGGGAAGAGGGGCACCAGGGCTCACGCCCACGACGCCCCCTGCCCACTCTTCCCTCTGCCAGATTGCCAAGCAGCAGCAGCAGCTCATTCAGCAGCAGCACAAGATCAACCTCCTTCAGCAGCAGATACAGGTAACAGGAGGGGAGACCCAGAGATGAAGAGAAGGTGGTTGAGGGAGCTGACGCCAGCCTGGAGAGGTGCTGGGGACAGGGAGGGGACAGGGGATGTGGACCAAGCTAAAGCTGTACAGAGCAGAATCACTCGGGCCTGACCCTGGGAGGGGCCCTTATTTCTGTTCTAGCCCCCAACCTGTCTTCTTTCCCTGTTAAGGCAAGAGCCCAGAATATCAATATCTTCTTCCCCAGCTGAGGCTGGAGGGCAGGTAGACGGGGCGCAGAGGTGGCATGGGGCCAGATGGATCCTTCAAAGACTGTCCCAGCCAGCCCTTATGCCCTGTGCATGAGTCTAGTACTCCTGTGTCCCGGCTGACCACAGCTGGCTAGCTCCTTGGGTCCCCGGGGACTCACACAGGGTTCCTTTGCCTTCAGCAGGTCAACATGCCTTATGTCATGATCCCAGCCTTCCCTCCAAGCCACCAACCTCTGCCTGTCACCCCTGACTCCCAGCTGGCCTTGCCCATTCAGCCCATCCCCTGCAAACCAGGTGAGTGTGGGAAGGGTGGCTCTGCCACAGAGGCTGGCCTGTCCTGCCTCAGGGAAGGACCCCGCAGCTGCTGCCCCCCATTCATTTGCTATGTGACCTTCCTGGGCCTCAGCTTCAGATCTGTCCGGTGGAGGAATAATCCCAGCTTCACTGGGAGAATGGAAAGAAATAACACGTTGAAAACCGTAAGGTGCTTCTCAGATGTGAGATGACGTGGCGGTGCAGGTCCAGTCTCCCCAGGGCCGGCGCCTTTCCTGTGCCAGATTGTTAATATCTTGAGTGTTAACTGAGGTTTACACACCTCCCAGATTCTAACAGCTGCCATTCCTACTGTCACGTGTCATTCCCGCCTTCTACCGCATCCCTGACACTCCGCAAACGGATCGACCACGCGTCACACACCGCGGAGTTGTTGGGGAGCCGTGGGGCTGACAAAACGTGAACTTTTTGCTCACAGGATTTACAGTCTGGGCGGGGGAAAGAGAAGGATGCCAGTACTGGGGAATCTGGGAAGGCTTCTTGAGGAGGTGCCGTTGTCTGCTTGGGTCCTGGGAGACCAGGCAGGACGTGTTAGGGGGAGTTGGAAGCTGAGGGGAGAGGGCTGGGGAGAGAGTGATCCAGACAGAGGCCTTGGAGTCTACGTTGGGAATCTTCGAGGGGGTTAGAGTTGAGGGGAGCGCGTGCCAGGGCGCGGGGATGGCTGAGCAGGGCCGTTGGGATGGAGCGTGGAGCCTGGAATTCATTTTGTAGGAGGGGGGTGCATTTGCATGTTTGAGTGCCCAGTGTGTTGTCTCTCTGTGGGGGATGGGGAGTTGCGGGGAGACCAACCAGAGGCAGGATCTGGTGGGGGCTCTTGTGATAATTCTAGGGATGGGGGATGTCACCTGCACCAGGGCAGTGACAGTGGGGATGGAGACATAGAATTATGGGAACAGGGCAGAGATGCTACCCATAATTTCCCCAGGAAATTTTAAAATCAACCCCCTCTGGTCCACCCTCCCTGTTCCACAAGTGAGAAAGAGACAGAAGGAGGAATCCCCCGGTGAGTTCCGTAGGCCGTGGGCACGTGTTCACTGGTCCCCACCAACGCTCTGCTCCGGCCTGGTTTATACCGGGCTCTGTAAGGTCGGGCAAAGCGGAAACACGAAGGACTGAACAAGTCAGGCCCTGTCCTAGCCTGTTCAGGCTGCTACAACAAAACACCGTAAACTGGGTGGCTTACAAACAACAGACGTTTATTTCTTGCAGTTGTGGAGGTTGGCAAGTCCAAGATCAAGGCACTGGCAGATTCGGTGTCTGGCGAGGGCCTGCTTTCTGGTTCCCAGGTGGCACCTCTGGCTGTGTCCTCACATGGTGGGCAGGGCAGACAAGCCCCCGCAGGCCTCTGATCCCATTCCCAAGAGCTTTGCCCTCCCGACCTAATCACTTCCCAAAGGTTCCCCCTGCTAATACTATCGCACTGGGGATTGGGTTTTGACATGTGAATTTGGGAAGACGCAAGCATTCAGGCCGTAGCATTCTGCCCTGGCCCCCGCCTCCAAAATCATGTTCTTCTCACATGCAAAATACATTCATCCCATCCCAACAGCCCCCATGTTCCAGCATCAACCCAAAAGTTTGAAGTCCAGAGTCTCAGATGTGGGGGAGACCCAAGGCATGATTTATCCGGAGGCAGACTCCCCTGCAGAGCTGAGCGAAGTAGATTTCTGTTGTTCCTAAGCTGCCTAGTTTATGGGTCTTCGTTACAGCAGCCCGAGTGGACTAAGACAGGCCCTGTGTGGAAGGAAGTTTCCAGTTAGCTGGGGTGAATTGGGAGAGGGGAGGGCTGGATTGGAGGCCAGGGCAATGGCCCCAAACCATCGCGACTCCCCGTGAACGCGGTGCGGAGCCCAGGAGGCGAGGGCAGGCCGGGTCAGGGGAGGGGCCCTGAGTGCTTTCCAGACAGGTGAGCGAGGAGGTATGATGGGGAAGACCAGGACTGGCCTGGCCGCCTCCCGCTTCGTTTGCTCCAGAATCCAAGCAAGCAGGGCCCCTTCCTAAGGCCCACTGTGAGTATCGCCCCCCAGCTCGCCTGCCTTAGATGGTGCCCGGTGCCTGCAGCGTACCGTCCACACTCCTGAGCGCGGCCTTCGCCCTGGGAGCCGGCCTGGCCCACGTGCCCGCCCCGTGCCCCAGCCTCCCTCTCACGCGCCTCACCACCCCTTCTCCCCGTCCCAGCCCTGCCCATCCTGCCGGCACTAGCTCACATCTTGACTCCCCCAGGAAGCCTGCTCTAGTCACCCTAGCTGGAACAAAGTTCCCTGGTGTGCCACCTGGGTGGCCCTTCTCACCACCTGCCATGCGCTGTGTGGTTTGCACACATGGCTTCTCTCTCCACCTGAACTGTCAACTGCTTGGTGCTGGGCCTGGTGGAGGTTGAGGGAGGGAGGGTAGGTAGAAGAGAGAGTGCCGTGTAAATGGGCAGTGAAGTCTGGAGGACCTGAGTTCAAATCCCAGTGCTGCCATTTAATAGCTCTGTGTGCAACCCTTTTGGCTTCTGAGGTCTCCGTTATTTTATCTGTAAAATGGGATGGTGTGTATTAAGCGCCTGGTGTATGCCACACACTGTGTGCTGTTGTGAGTGCACATGAGACATGCCACACAGCAGGCAGCTGCTTTTGTACGATGCGTACAGTAGGCACAAAATATAAGTATCCACTGAATGAATAGATGGCATGCCCTCTCACTGCGACATTGGGTGGGGCTCTGGGGTCTGAAGTGTGGGTCGGGACAGGCAGGAGCAGGGGAAGATGCCACACGCGGGGCACTGGGGGAGGAGGGATAGGAGGTCCCGGCCGTGCTCTGGGGCCGGAAGGACAGTGGGCGAGACCAAGCCGGGCCAGCTTCGAGCCTTCGCCTGCCTTGCGGTGCGGGGCCGCGTCAAGCAGGGTGTCTGCTGTTCTGTGCTCATCCAGGACTTTTCTCCCTGCCGCCTTTTCCACAGTGGAGTATCCGCTGCAGCTGCTGCACAGCCCCCCTGCCCCGGTGGTGAAGAGGCCTGGGGCCATGGCCGCCCACCACCCCCTGCAGGTACGGCCCTCTTCTGCTGGCCCTGGGCTCTCTCCGCAGCTCACTGCCGCTGGCTGCCCTGTGTGGGGACTGCGGGGTGTGGAATGGTGGGCCTGGCACCCTGTGTTTTGTTCGCCTGCCCCTGCTGTCTCCGCTCTCTCTGTCGGTGTCCTTGTCTGTTCTGGGTTTGCTGGCTCCACTTCCTCTCTGTGCCTCTGCGGGGGCTCCTGGGGCCTCTCCCACCTCTGACCCCCCGGGTCTCCCTCAGGAGCCCTCCCAGCCCCTGAACCTGACAGCCAAGCCCAAGGCTCACGAGCTGCCCAACGCCTCCAGCTCCCCCAGCCTGAAGATGAGCGGCTGTGGCCCCCGCCCCCCCAGCCACGGGGCCCCCACGCGGGACCTGCAGTCCAGCCCCCCCAGCCTGCCTCTGGGTAAGCTTTCTGCCGCCCACGCCTGTCCACCAGCCCTCTCTGCGTGCCAGGTTTTACCGAACGGGGAGTTACACCTGCTCTTAGAAGGTCCCGTCCTCCTGTCCCCCACCGTGTCTGTCTGGGCACCCCAGCACCCGGGAGCAGGCCACCGAGTTCCGCAGTTCCAGACGCCGCTATTTTCAGTTCCAGACTGTTGACGCTGCGCAGCAGCCAGTGTAAATGGCGTCCCTTTGGGTGTGCAGTGCAGCCGCGGAGGGCAAGAGGGACCGCCAACCCAGGTGACTCCCTCCTCTTCCTCTGCCCTCCCCCATAGGCTTCCTCGGTGAAGGGGATCCTGTCACCAAAGCCATCCAGGATGCTCGGCAGCTGCTACACAGCCACAGCGGGGCCTTGGACAGCTCCCCCAACACCCCCTTCCGTAAGGTATGGCCACCCCCACCCCGCACCTCAGGGAGGAGCAGATGATGGCCAGGGTTGAAAGACACAGAGTCTGAGGCCACCAAAGGGAGGGGGAGGAGAGGGGTGACACAGAGGGGGCTGATGTACAGGTTGCCCTGTCAACCCCAGGACCTCATCAGCCTGGATTCGTCCCCAGCCAAGGAGCGGCTGGAGGAGAGCTGTGTGCACCCGCTGGAAGAAGCCATGCTGGGCTGCGACATGGACGGTGAGGGCTCTGGGCACTGGCTGCTGGGCAGGAGGGGCCACCTCTGTTCCAGGGGGGCCATCTCTGTTCCGGGAGGCCAGGGAGGCTCAGGTTGCATCTGTCTCTGACCCCGTCTCTCCATTGGTCTGTCTGTTGGGTCCTCTGCAGGTGCGTGTGCCTCCATTGTCCCGTGTCTCTGTTGGCTCTGTCTCCTGGTCTCTCTGATGGCTGGGTCTCCACTCTCTTGGGGCCCTATTGCCCTGGTTTCCTGTGTGTCTGTCCTGTGTCCGTCTATGGGTCCCTGGCTGGGCCTCTGGGGCTAACTTGCTGTGGGAGCCTCCTCAGTGCCTCCTAGAGGTTGAGTAGGGGACGGCTCTCTGCTGGCCCTGGAGGACTCTCCCTACCCCAGACAGGCTGCCTGGCTGACACCGTCCCTGCCCCTCAGGCTCCCGCCACTTCCCGGAGTCTCGGAACAGCAGCCACATCAAGAGGCCCATGAACGCCTTCATGGTGTGGGCCAAGGACGAGCGGAGGAAGATCCTCCAGGCCTTCCCGGACATGCACAACTCCAGCATCAGCAAGATCCTCGGTAAGGGCCGTGGTGGGCTCTCCCAGGGCTCTCGGGGGTCCAGGGCCATAGTCCAGCAGGACCTGGTGGCAAGAGCTGTCTGGGTCTACTTGGGGCTTGCTTGGTTATATTCCACACCATGCTGGACTCCAGTGGAATCTCATGGGGTGCAGAAGTCGGGGGGATGTGGGGGGAGCTGGGTCCTAGGGTCTTGTACCATCGCAGGGCTCTCCCGGTAGCACCTGCCCTCAAGAACTCCAGGAGAGAGAGAGAGAGTGTGAGTGTGAGTGTGTGTGTGAGTGCGTGCGTGCATACGTGCGTGTACATTCTTTAGCCCTCCTGATCTAAACCTAACCTGTTCCACTATTTGCCCAGACCCTTGGGGCTGGCTCTGGCAGACAGTAGGAGAGACTAGTGTTCTTGGGCTGTCAGTAGAAAGGTTTTTAGAATTCTATGTCCTGATCGGAGGCCAAGGAACAATGGGGGGCAGGGCAGACGGTGCTAAAAGGGGACAGTCGTTTTCAAGACTGAGGCTCCTCGTGTCAATGCAGGTCTCTTGTCAACCGAGACACCAGGGATTTTGTCCTGAGCAGGGAGCCTGTCTGGGTTGTTGAGGGCCTGGGTGGCTATTCCTTTGTTCATGCAAATCAGGCAGACCAGAGGCCTCCCGGAAGTAGCAGGGTCGTTTGGGATGTGGGTGGATGCTGAGTCTGAAGCAGACAGTTGGATGCCCCTCTGTGTGCCAACTTCATTCATTCCTTTGCTCAGCATCCAAGGAGCACCCACATCGGGCCAGGCCCTCACTCAGTGCTTGCACATGTATTGTCTTGCGGAGCCACCTGGGGACCACACTCTCCTCGGGGCCTCCAGGGGGCCGGGGTGGTGAGCAGAGCCCAGCACTGACTGCCTGTCCCTGGGGGCTGGGCAGGCTCCCGCTGGAAGTCCATGACCAACCAGGAGAAGCAGCCCTACTACGAGGAGCAGGCGAGGCTGAGCCGGCAGCACCTGGAGAAGTACCCCGACTACAAGTACAAGCCGCGGCCCAAGCGCACCTGCATCGTGGAGGGCAAGCGGCTGCGTGTGGGCGAGTACAAGGCCCTGATGAGGACCCGGCGCCAGGACGCCCGCCAGAGCTACGCCATCCCGTGAGCAGCCCCCCTGCCCAGGCGGCCGAGACGGCGGGGCGTCAGTGTGCGGCTGGCCTCTGCATGTGACCCCAGGGTGCTGTGTGTGTATGTTACCTGTGTGTGTGACTGCGGGGGCGACCGTGTGTGGTGTGTGTGACTGTGCTGAGCACTTGGTGGCTGAGGCTACAGGCACGTGACTGTACCTGTGGAGGCCCAGCCGTGTGCACCTGGAGAAATGTGCCTGCAGGTCCCATTTCTGACGCACTCTGTGCAAACTCGGAGGTGCTAAATATCAAAGTGCTCGTCACACAGGAAGATTCCTGACTTGACCCAAGCTAGCACACTGCTGGCTTCCTTTCAACAGGAAGTCCCCCAGTGCATTACAAATACACAGTTCCAAAAAATTGGATTCATACTCCATCCTCCAAGAATATTATCTGTTGAATACACCCGCGGCCCTGCGTCTGCGGGGCCATCTGCAGGGCTGTAGGTGACAGTGAATTTGGCCATCAGAAAACAGACTGGGGACAGTCGTATGAGTCACAGAGCCAAGAAGCTGTGGGGTGGGGCTGCACGCTCTGAGGAGGCCTGGGGGCAGCTGGGCTTGGGGTTGAAGTGGGGGCGCGTGTGTAACTGCGCCTCTTCCCCACCCCAGCCCGCAGGCCGGCCAGGTGCAGCTGAGCTCCACAGACGTCCTGTACCCGCGGGCGGCAGGCGTGCCCCTGGCACAGCCGCTGGTGGAGCACTACGTCCCCCGGAGCCTGGACCCCAACATGCCTGTTATCGTCAACACCTGCAGCCTCAGAGAGGAGGGTGAAGGCACAGACGACAGGCACTCGGTGGCCGATGGCGAGATGTACCGGTACAGTGAGGACGAAGACTCAGAGGGCGAAGAGAAGAGCGACGGGGAGTTGGTGGTGCTCACGGACTGATCCCGCTGGGTGGGCCCGGCCCCTTGTGGGGACAGACCCCAGCCCACCCCGCGGGCACAGCCAGCCAACCTGGACTATGTTGGTACTTGGCCTTGGGTGTGCCCTGGAGATGGGCAAAGCTGTGCACTTGTAGATACGTTCATGAGGGGAGAGTCCCCCTCCCCGCCACACCCTCGGGCATGCCTGAGGAGCTGTCACCTGCTGGGCAGGGCCCGCACTGGTGATGGGCTGAGCTGGCCCTTGGGGCTCACAGCCAGGGGACACTGGATGGCCCTCCCTCCCGCAGCTACCCACAGGGATGTGGCAGCTACAGACCTGTCCCCTTGGGGTCACATGCTGTTTCCATTCTTGTCCTGGCTGGACCAGCCTCTGTGGGACCACCACCCCCTCCCACACCCCCCCCATCACTCCTCTATCACCAGGATCACTTTGTGCAAAAGGGTCCGGCTGTCCCTCACTGTCTTTATCTCTGCCAAGCCCATCGTGCCTCTGGCTGCTCTGTGTGTGTGTGTGTGTGTGTGTGTGTGTGCACATGTGTGTGTGTTTTCATCTGTTCGTTCATTGCACAAGATATTTATTGAGTGCCCACTACGTGCCAGGCACTGTTGCTGAGTTCCTGTGGCTGTGTCTCTTGACGCCACTCTTGTTTCTCTGGGGGCCTCTTTCTGTGCTTCTCTTTGTCCCCAAATTGCTACCTCTTTGTCAGTCTGGGTGTCTCAGGTTCTGTGTGTTCCTTGTGTGCATTTATTTCTCTCTCTCTTCCTTGTCTTCCTGCAAGGCCCTCTTTGTTTCTCTCTCTTTTTCTCAGTGTCTGTCCCTGCCCCCCTGATGCCCTCTGGGTCCCTGCAGGCCCCAGGTCTTTCCCTGGGCCCACCAGCCTTCCTGCCCCTCTCCTACCTGCCCCTTCACTCCACCCTGACTCTGCCTGTCGGTTCCCACGGAGCCCCTTTTAGCTCTGAGCAGCATGGGAATGTGCCTCAGCCTCCAAGGGGCTTTGTCCTGGTGCCACAGCCCTGGTCCCCACCTGACTGCAGGAGTGAGTGGGACAGGAGGACTGATGGTGCTCCCTTACTGCCAGCCACAGGGGCCCCGGAGCCGGGGCTCCTCCACGGCAGCTGGTCTCCATTCTGCCCTCATGAGCATGGGCTGGGGGCTCCGCATTCTTGGGAGGGGTTGATGAGAAGACTCATTACCCTCTCCCACCTGGCCCTGCCCCTTCCCCACACTAGGGAGTGGGTCTCAGATTCACAAGTCCTTTCCCTAAGGAGGTCCAATCCCCTTGGCATCTAACTCCAGAGATCCGGAGCAGCCCTCAGACCAGGGTGGGAAGGGAACCCCAAACCCCACAGGGCCAGGTGTGGAGTCTGCACCTGCCCCCATCTTCTCCCCTCCCTCTCCCCGAAGCCCCCATTTCTTTCCAGGCTGTTTCTTTTTTTATGACTGTAAACATAGATAGTGCTTTATTTTGTTAATAATAAGATAAAGATGAGTAACTTAACCAGCACATTTCTCCTGTTTACACTCGGGGGATTTTGTTTTGTTTTGTTTTCTGATGGCATAATAAAGACAGATCATTTCGGAATCTGGCCCTTGTGCAGGGGAGGGGGAGGCCGGCGGAGTCCGGAAGCCCAGGTGTGCTGGAAGCCCGGGCACCACTGCCCCCTGGTGGCAGCTTGTGGGAGCTTCGGGCGTGCGGCTGGGAGGAACCGGCTCGGGCAAGGGAGGCCAAGGCAGAGCCTGTGGGTGACACACGACATCCACGGAGCCCACACCGAATGCCCCTGGCCTTGAGCAGGTGAGCCCACTCAGGTCTTCAGAAACAAGGCAGTGGTAAGAGCACTGTAATAGGAGTCGGGAAGCTCAGGTTCTCCTAGAACTAGGCACATAGTTGGGGGGGAGGGTCGGGTCTCCCCTTTAGGCCTCATTGTCTTCCTCTGAAAACAAGGGGATTAATCTTATCCTGGTTCTTATCCTCTTTCAGAGAAGGAGCCCTGTGAGACGCCAGTGAAAGCTTGGGCCCTAGTCCCGGAAAAGGGGACAGACACGTGGACGCCCTGAGGCCCACCTTCTACGCTGGTTAACAAGGCAGGTCTCCAATGATGGGCACCAGGGCTCTCTCTCTGACCTCAGGCTTTGGAAGAGAATGTCAAAGGCAGAGTTATCGCACTAGGAGACGCAGGTCCCGAAAGGGCTAGATGACAGACTGAAACGCTACAAAATGCATGTTAACCAGGATCTATAAAAAGCTCCTGTGGTTAAAAATTAACCCCATCAGTATGGAATGGGGACAGCAGAGCTGACTGGCACCTCCTGTGAAAGGGTTAGACCTGGGCTGGATTAATAGGGGCTTGTGCTCACAACCAGGGAGGTGATGGTCACGGTGTACCCCACACAGGCCTACCCCTCCCTGGAAAAGGCCGTTGTCCTGAGGGAGGGGCCCGGAAGCAGTCCCCCTGCGTGGAAGAGGACGGGCGGGACCCTGGTGGGCACGTCCTGGAGGAATGGTCAAAAGGGCATGTTTAGTCCAGAGGAGACGAGGGTAGGGCAGAAGACAGGATCATTTCTTCGAAGCTGCCAGGGGGCGAGGGTCTTTCTCCATAGCTCACGAGGCAGAACTTGGACTCGCAAATGAAGGTCTCAGGAGTCAATATTTGGGCTTAACATAAAGAACTTTCGACAGAGATGTTCACAGAGTGAACATCCCAGAGCAGGAAGTGCCAGTCAGAGGCTCTGGGATTCCTAGATCGCAGAAGGTGGTGGTGGGGGAAGGTGGGCGGCACTGATTCGGGGCCACAGACTTGCAAGGGCGTGGGAACGAAGACTCCCCAGGAATTAGGGGCCCAGCCTTTGATCTGGGGCCGTTGTTCCCCAGCCCAGCCCAGCCCCTCAGCTGCGGCCTCTCCTCAGATACAGGCAGTGGTGGGAGGAGGAGTCCGCCTGGGCAGTTGCTCACGTCCCCTCCCACTGTCCGCTTCCTCCACCCTCCACCCCACTCCCACCCATTCTCCCCAAGCTCACTGCACACCCACTGCCAGCCCTGACTTCCCCTGGCTTCCCTGTTCCCAAGTCCTCTGTGGCCTGGGGTGGGGGTGGGGGCCTGACCCAGTACTTCTCACGTCCCACTCCGGGGACCTTGTCCTGTCTGCCTCATTCCAGCTGCTGAGACGGGTTGGCCCTGCGCCCCCCTCTTAGGATGGCTGGAGTCCTGGAGCCCCACTCCCTATCCCTTGAGAGGGAGGATGGGTCAGGTGGGACGCAGAGGCCAGGAACATAGTGTCCTGCTCGTTACCAGGAAGGCTGGGCCACAAGCTGTTCTCTGCCCCCTTGGTGCCTCTCCTGCAGAGACCGAGGGTCAGAGCAGAGTTTTTTGCCTGGAGCTCCTGCCAAGGGCCTAGGAAGGGGCCCGAGAGGGTGGAGCACAGGTCACACTCAGGAGGCCTGGTGCTTAGCCAGGAGGGCAGGGGTTCTGGTTAGTCTGGGGGCGCTGGGGAAGGAGAGAAGGTAGAATGCCCGGGCTTTGCAGGGCACGCCCCCACCTGCTCATAACCCTGGAGGACTGGAGGAATGAGAATACTTTCTCAAAGAAGGCAGTGGGGTGGTGTCGACAGGTTAATCCTTCCGGTGCAGATGGTGGCCAGGGCCTTAGGGGCACAGGACGATACCCTGGGAGCCCTGTCCCAGCCACTCCCTGCTCCCCACTGCAACACCTGCCTCCAACGCGTGACATCAAGGCCCCAGGAGGCCAGAAACAAAGGTACCTTCAGTGTTAATTCTGCCCTCAGTTCTAGAGCTGGCTCTGAAAGGAACAAAGGGGGTGGGCACTGCTACTTAGTCCACAGGTCGCGTCTGGCCACCTGTCCCCACACATGACCTTCAGGTCCCTGCCTGCCCAGCTCTGGCCCCATCCCTATCCCTGGGCAACTCTTTCCCCATGTGTTCGATTAGCACCCCTCCTAGGCCGCTACCCCTGGATCACCGTGACCTTGAAGGCCCCAGCTGCCTGTGCCAGCTCCAGCAGTTGCCATGGCATCCTGGTACTTCTGCAGGCAAAAACCAAACAACCAGAGTCCACCTGGCAGGCGGCTGTTCCAGCCCCGCCCCTAAGGGCACTGGGCACATTCTGGGGGGCCCTGGAAGTATAACTAGCAACCAGGCTGCTGAGAGGGATGCCCCATTCTCACCTTTTGAGTTTCTGCCCTTCCCTCCCTCTGGCCTTCTGAGAAGGTAACAGAAGGTTCCAGAAATCACTCTTGCCGGCTGTCAGGCAGAGCAGCTCCCTTTCCCAGCCCCCGTAGCTGGGAGCCAGAAATGACTATTTAAGGTGTCCGCAGCCCTTCCACGCAGGGTTTCACCGGCTCAGCACTGTGGTCAGCCACGGTCCCTGTAATCCTCAGCCCAGCTCCCCTGCATCCAGCTGATTCTAAGACGACGGTGAAAGGCGGAGGAGCAGCGAGACACCAGCCCTGCCCAGGTCTGCAAGGAGCCCAGGGCGTGAGGCAAGTGCGCAGGGGCAGGCGCTACCGCGACTTCTGCATGAAGTCCAGGGGACGGCGTTGAGGAGGGGCTGCGGCACTCCTTGGCCCCCACTGCAGGACACAAATCCTCACCACTGTCACGTGACACAGAGCAGTCCAGAAATGGCATTTTAATGCAGAAAACCATGATAATTTACAAATGAATCACTTTATGGGCCAGAGCCAGGAGGGCTCAGGAGCCCCAGGGCAGGAAGGAGGTGGAGGTTGTTGGCAGGGGCAAGGGGAGGGGGGGCTCGGCCAGCACCTTTCTGATTCGATCCTGCCCAGGCTCTCACGCGCCGGGCAGGGAGGATGCCCTTGGCCCCCTGCCCCTTGATGCCCACTAGTCATTCCCAGATGGGAAAACCTCCGGTCAACTTCAGGACAGAGGTGGAGACGGAGAGACATCCTTGGGAAGGAGGGCCTGGAAGGCAGGGGAGGGAACAAGGCAGGTTGCTGCTAGCTCTGGCTCTGGCCACCCACCCTTGGCCGTGTCCCCTCCAGCCGAGCCACGGCACAAAGCAGAGCCTGGCTTTGGAGGCCCAGGGCCTCGCCATCCCTCCTTCCCCGCAGCAGGCTGCAGAGGGAGAGCAGAAGCACTGGAGCAGCAAGGGCAGTGGAGGGAGCACGGCGCCTGGGCTGAGGTACAGGGAGGAGTTACGTGATTGGACCTGGTTTGGAGAAGGTGAGGGGTCTCAGAGGAGGCGGCTGCTGGGGAGCTGTCATGCCCAATTTTAGACCCCCACACCCCGCCAAGGTGTGTACATCCATGTGTCAGGGTTGGCACGATGCTGGTCTGGGGCTCAGCACCTCCTACACGGGGCACGCGGGGGGACGGGCTGGAGCTCGTGGCACTGGAGGTAGAAAGGAGCCCTCCCCGCGTCCCCCTTCCCCGCGTCCCCAGGCCAGGGAGGGTCACAGACACAGCTAAGGCAGCCCAGTTGCAGCAGGGCCTGGGGCTGAGAATGGTGCTTCCTGTAGTCACGGTCCAGGCCCTGGCTCCCTGCAGGCACTTCCTCCCAAGCCTGGCGAGGTGAAGGGGACCCCTGGAGTTGGGTCCTATCAGCCCCTCCAAACAGGAGAATGAGGTCTTCAGTGGCAACCACTGGGGGCTGGCGGCAGGGACAGAGCCTTCTCCCTGGACACCCACCTGTCCCCTTCTCCCACCTTGTCCAAGGGTGTGGACCCCAGAGCAGAACTGAGCCCTGGAGAACAGGTCTGGCCAGACAGATGGGTAGGCGAGGGATGGGGTGGCTGGTCACTTTGGCATCTCCAAGGCTGACACTTGAGGCTTCACCTTGAAGTACTGGTTGAATCGGATCACCGCGTACCTGCCAGAAGGCAGAAGGAAGCTCGGTGTGGGAAGGGAAACCAGGTGGGCCCTGCTGGGGGTACTCACACCACGAGGAAAGTTTCTCACCAGCTCTAAGCCCATCTAGGTCTGCGCAGGTCAACCCCGGCCCAGGTTTTTGTGTTTGTTTGACGTCAACTTTTTTTTTCTTTTTTTGAGACAGAGTCTCACTCTGTTGTCCGGGCTAGAGTGCCGTGGCGTCAGCCTAGCTCACAGCAACCTCAAACTCCTGGGCTCAAGCGATCCTCCTGCCTCAGCCTCCCGAGTAGCTGGGACTACAGGCATGTGCCACCATGCCCGGCTGATTTTTTCTATACTGTATGTATATTTTTAGTTGTCCAGATCATTTCTTTCTATTTTTCAGTAGAGACGGGGGTCTCGCTCTTGCTCAGGCTTGTCTCGAACTCCTGACCTTGAGCGATCCACCCGCCTCGGCCTCCCAGAGTGCTAGGATTACAGGAGTGAGCCACCGCGCCCAGCCTTGACTTCAACTTTTAATTTTTTCTTCTCAGATCAGACTGGAGCAACCCTGCATGTTTGGAGTTTTGTTTTGACAGTTTGAAATGCTAAGTATATTCATATGATTGTGTAATAAATCTCTTGACCTTTTCATATTGCAAAACTGAAACTCTATACCCATCAAACAACACTCCCCATTTGCCCCTCTTCCCAGCCCCTGGCAACCACCATTCTACTTTGTTTCTTACGAATTTGGCTATCTTATTTACTCCTTATAAGGGGAATCTTACAGTATTTGTCTTCTTTTTTAAAAATTTCTTTCTGGGCCGAGGTTGGAGGTGGGAGGGATGTTCCAGGGCAGGGCTTCCAGGAGAAAGGTGGGGCTTGGCCAGTATTTATCTTTTTGTGACTGGCTTATTTCACTTAGCATAATGTCCTCAAGGTTGGTCCGGGTTTTAGCATGTGACAGATTTCCTTTCTAAGGCTGAGTAATACTCCATTGTATGTACATACCACCTTTTATTTATCTATTCATCTGCTGATAGACATCTGGGCTGCTTCCACCTCTTGGCTACTGTAAATAATGTTGCTCTGAACACAGGTGTACAAATTTCTTTGAGATCCTGCTTTCAATTCTTTTGTCTCTACATCCAGAGGTGGGATTGCTGGATCATATGGTAATTCTATTTTTCCATTTTTCGAGGAACCACCGCACTGCTTTCCATAGCACCTCACCATTTCTCATCGCCACCAGCGGTGCATAAAGGTTCCGACTTCTTCATAGCCTTGCCCACATTTGACATTTTCTGGTTTCTTTGGTAGCAGCCATCCCAAGGGGTGTGAGGCGGTATCTCACGGGGCTTCTGATTTGCATTTCTCTAATGGTTGTGAACACTTTGAAGCCAGGGTCATGATTCCCTTTCCACTAAGGGTGGGTGGGGAAAAGGCGGGCCAGGGTCTGGACCCGAATGGAGGAAGAAATGATTCCTGGCCCTTAGGGACGTATGTTCCTCCAGGCCAGGGACGTCCTGCATTGCCACTATTCAAGTACCATCCAGATGCTGTCCCTATACATCGCCAGGAGCCACTGAAGGGGTGGAGGGGCCTCACACCCATGCAGGGAGGCAGCACAGCAAGCACTAAGCCACCCAAGTGGCCTCACATGTCACTTCCGCTCTGGAATTCTGTCCTCTCCGCTGTAAAAAGATCTCCGTGATCTTTCAGACTGACTTTCAACAATTCCCTCCACCACCAGGCTCCGTGCACAGGTGCGCTGGCAGCAGGCAGGGCAGTGGAGTGGCAGTGGGATGCAGTGGGGACGAGCGGACCTTCCAGGCGCAGGGGAGGGAGTGGCATTTCTGAGTATTTTCAGAGTGGCGTTCCCCGGCACCCCCAGGACGCAGAAACAGGCTGGCATGGGGACAAGTCAGCAGGACAGAGGAACGGACTCCGGGCATTCTGTTGGGGCTTCCTCTGCCCCCTTCGCACCCTGGGCTCAAGGCTTTTCCTTTTTTCCGTGCCCCCCTCCAGCTTCCCCCTGCACTCACCTGAGGAAATCGAAGTCGATGGTGGAGTACTGGTTCTGGATGAGGGCCCAGAGCGCCCAGAAGAAGTGAGACGCCTGGAAACAGACCAGAGAGGGTCAGCTCGGCGAGGCCCCACGCCTGTCGGCAGCCCTGCAGAGCCAGGGGACGCAGCCGTTCTGGAAGACACAGAGCTAGGATACTGGCAGAGACGTGGTGGGGTCTCCCCGGCACAAGCTTTGGGGGCTCCGCTCCTACCAGGAAAAGGCGAGCAGAGCCAGTTCTACCAAGGCCCTGGTGTCTGCCCCCCTAAGGGGGTATGGTCAGCAGAATGGTGCTTCTAGGGATTTCAGGAGGTTCCCCCAGCCTAAGCAGGACCCACACTCCACCCCGGCCTCTTCCCTACCTGGGGGAACCTGCTGGAGTCTTCGAGGCCAAGGTATCCAGGACAAGGTGACTCCCTAAGCCAGAGCTTAGGCCTAGTGGCCAGTGGAGGGGCTGGCACCCCTCAGGAGGGTGCAGGGAGAGGAGAAGAGGGTGGCAGCAGTGCCCTGGCCACCAGTCTGCTGGAAGACCCCTACACTGACCTTCACTCTACTGGGAGGCCAGTCAGGCTGGAAAATGAATCTGGATCTGGGAGCAAGTATGGGCATTTGCTGAGCATTAAACTGTGTTTTCCCTGTAGCCAGGGGTCCCCACAAGGCCCAGGTCACCTCAGACTCAAGAAGCCAGGGGACCATGATTCCCAGCCGCCCCCGAACAAACACTAGTGACACCATCATTTTCCCATGCAAGGGTCCCTCCCCACCCCTGTGGCATTCCCATCCCCGAGTCCTGCTCACTCAGGGCTTGGCTACAAAGTGCCTCCCCTGCACTTTCTTCCCTTTTCATGGCTTAAAAGGGGCATAGAAAAACTAGCACGAATGAATTATCACTAAAACCTTAGCAAGAGGAAGGCTTGTTCTTAAGGTAGAAGGAAAACCCCAATGCAGAAGCGCCAATGAGGAAAATAGAATAGGCAATCCCAAATCACAGAAAAGTAAAGATTTTCTTTAGCTCTGTTATGTATTATGAAATTCAGGACAGCTGACTTGTCCTCTTGCTTAGGCACAGCTGACATTAACAGGACTAGTTAGCAATCCCCTGGGCACATGCAGGCGGGGGAGGGGGGGTCTGGCATGAACCTTGGGTCAGTGGCACTCAGAATTGAGAAGCGACAGCGCAGTGATCTGAGCAGGAAGAGCCTGACATTATATACGTATACATGAAAGGATGAGTCCAACTGCAGCGTGGAAGGCCGAGATTAAACAGTAGAAAGAACTACTTATGCAAATGAGAGACTTGCTAAAATTGGAAGCCAGGATGTTTCTTGGAAGTATTTCTCTAGAGAAGAGAGAGCCTGGACTGAATGGGGCAGGGGCAGGGAATAGGTCATCTTAGCATAGGGGTGCCCCACACAGGGCTCCCCAGGCTCACCTCTAGAGTGGGGTTCTGGAGCCAAGGGCGGGTCACGAGTCCCTCCTGGCTCCTCCTTCCCCGCCCCCGCCCAGTCACCGCACTCACCAGGGCGAACTTGTTGACTTGCACGTAGAGCCTCTCCACCTCCCTGGGGGGCACGGCCATCCCCTTCTGCGCCTGCAGGTAGTAGCGCAGCCACTGCAGCTGGGTCTCCCGCGTCGGGTACTGGCAGTAATCCACCTCGTTCACGCCTGGCGGGGAGGCAAGCCAGACACAAGTTGCTCAGAGAGTCCATGGTCCCGCCTCAGGGCCTCCTCAAGCTCAGCATGTGTCCCTCCCCCCCTCAAAACTCCCGTCTCCTCTGACCTGCGGGGCTGTGCCCACAGAGGCAGCCCTGGGAATATGGCTTCTCCACTAGTGCGGGGCTCCGCCCACATCCCACCTGGGAGCTTCTGTGGGACTGGGGAAGCAGAGAGAGAGGCAGACTGCTAGAGGGGCAACGTACTGTCCAGGGAGTGACGGGAACCCCTCATGACAGCACCACTGTATGCCCCGAGCCCTGCACAAAGTGACGGTGCGTGGGAGGCACCACTGGTCTCAGGTCTCCTGCCAACCTCCAGTTAACCCGGAACAAGCCCTTTGCTCTGTTTTTGTTTTTTTAAATGTCTCTCCCCCTTTATTTCTGCATTTCTATATTAAATATATGTTAATAGTATCAAACTCACTCTGTCACCCAGGCTGGAGTGCAGTGGTGTGATCATAGCTCACTGCAGCCTCGAACTCCTAGGCTCAAGCGATCCTCCTGCCTCAGCCTCCCGAGTGGCTGGGACTACAGGCACACACCAACATGCCCAGCTGATTTTTGTAATTTTTTGTAAAGATAGGGTCTCACTATGTTGCTCAGGCTGGTCTCAAACACCTGACTCACGTGATCCTCCTACCTCAGCCTCCCAAAGTACTGGGATTACAGGCATGAGCCACCGCACCAGGCTTCGCTGTCTTCATTATCAAACAAGGGACCTAGACTAATGTAGGACTGTCAAACGTGGTTTCTTAGACCAGTGTTAAGCTGGCTACTTAAGAAGATCACCCAGAGAGCACCCCTACTCCCATCCAATTCTCCAGATGATTCTAACAGGCACCCAGGCTTGGAACACATGGGCCAGGTGGCTCTGACTCCCTAGAGCCCTCCCTTTCTAGTTGTCCTCGAGCTGCCAGCCGGGGACTTCCAGCCACATCCTGGGCATGGCGGCAGAGACCTTGGCTTCAGAGCTGGCACACAAAGAGGTGGATTATTTAAGACAGGACCAAGACTGGGCCACCTTCTTCAGGGTCTCTCCCTCCCTCTTTTCCTGTCCTTCCTAAGCTTTCCTTATACCCCCGGAAAAACACACTCGGTCTCCTGAGGCCCCAAGAGTACAGCTGGTAAGAATCTCCTTGTGTAGGTACAGAAACTAAGGCCCAGAGACAAGAAGAAATGTGCCCAAGGTCACTCTCCCAGTTAGGGACAGGATTGCGGTTGGGACCCTCACGTCCCAATGCCTAGTGCCGTGTCTGCCTCACTGCTGAGAACCCAGGGGTCCCTCTCCCCAGCTCCTAATCTCCCTTGCCCTCTTCCTTCCCCTACACTAGGTTCTTCCTCCTCCATTCTCAACCTGGGAGCAGGACGCAATCTGCCCCTTTGGAGAGATTCCAGTTGGACTTTGCTCTGTGCAGTGGGTGAGAAGGACTTAAAAAGCTTAAGAATTATCCCTTGCGGAAAGACCAGCAGGCCTGGTGGCCAAGCACTCCCAGGCCCGGCCAGTGCCAGCCTCTGTTCACAGCACCTGCCACTCCGCTCCCTGCAGCTCAGAGACTCTGCCCCGCTGAGGCCCCATAATCCCTCGGGTTCCTAGGTGCAGCTGGTGGCTGCCCTGGGGTGTCGCAGCCTTAGGTGCAATCAGTGCTTGACAGACTGGTCACCTGGGGTTCCAGAAGGGTTGCAATTGGCCTGATCAGGGTGGGGAATGGCTAAGGCTGGGGGGCGGGGGGCACACTCCGCAGCTGGCCTGGGCCTGCCTCACCTATCCTGAGCACCTCACACTGCCTGTCTGGGGACGGTCCCCCAGCCGCCATGTACAGCTCTATCCATGCAGCTCTATCCATGCGTTGCCTCCTCAGTCCCATCTAATTGTTTTTAACAATTAAGCCCTCAAGCTGGAAAAACCTGCCCTGCTTCCTTTACACAAGTGGTTCTATTGTACATACCATACCTTTCTAGAATAATTGCCTACCCCTAGGAATCCCTGCCCTCATCCACCCTCTTCCACTCCTGCTCCAGGAAAGCTTCCCTGCCTAATAACAGCAGCAAACACCACTATGATGTTTAGCACGTGCCACGCACATATATCTCTTATCAATACTGTGAAGTAGGCACCCTCATCATCTCCATTTTGTAGGGGCGCAGAGAGGGTGAGTAACCTGCCCAAGGGTCACACAGCTATTGGTAGTAAGCAGCAAAGCCAGGACCCGAAGTTGGGGAGTCAAGTTGCAAACTACATACTTGCAATTAGTTCCACTTAGATTATTCTCATCAAGCTACCTGGCAAACAGCTCCTCACAGCTTGTTCTAGCCTCCACCCTCCAAGGACAGAACCACCTTTGGTCCTCCCCCCAGACCTGGCTCCCAACATAAGGAGAGTGCTTTTTACATAGGCCAAATACAGTTATGCTTCGCTTAACAACGGAGATATGTTCTGAGAAATGCGTCATTAGGAGACTTCGTCGTTGTGCAAACATCATAGAGTGTGCTTACACAAACCTGACGGTACAGCTACTACACACCTGGGCTGTACGGTATACCTGTCGCTCCTAGGCTGCAAACCTGTGCGGCATGCTACCACTGTACTGAATACCGTAGGAAACGGAAACACAGTGTTAAGTATTTGTGCATCTGAGCATCTCTAAATGTAGAAAAGGTACAGTAAGAATACAGTGCTATAATCTCACGGGACTACCATGGTGTCCACGCTCCGTCGGTGACTAAAACGTTCTATGCAGCGCATGTGGTGATGCCCTTCTCACCTGCAAACTCATTGAAATGGTTGCCGATGTCAAAAGCTTGGTAGTTGTAGCCGGCGTATTCGTAGTCAATGAACCGTACGTGACCTGTGGGGTAGAGGAGAGGCCATGAGGGTTGGCCCGGGAGATCTGGAAATAGGGCCCGGCCAAGCTTCCGCAGACCTCTGAGTGCACCCACGGACTACTGCTGGCCCGCGTGGCAATCCAGCCCGACCCAGCCGCAGCAGCAGTCTTCTCAGCCGCCTCCTTCTATCCACATCTGTCCCTCTCACACAGCTGGATCCCCAGGCTCTCCCCACCGAAACACATCTGTCCTCAGCATGGCTAAGGATCAGAAATGAAGCTACGGCTCCCTGGGTGATGCCCTCACAAGGAACACCAGGAGGTTCTCTCTCTCTCTCTCTCTCTCTCTCTCTCTGAAGGTTTGGGGCAACCACGATGTCTTCAGAAGCGCAGAGCTGCCGGGAGGAGTGGCTTCGGTGCCCTAATGCCGAGCGCCTCCACGAACCATTATTTTGAGTTCCTTCTTGGTATAGACTTTTCTAAGCGGGAGTTTGTTTCCTTTTCCCCCTTCTCGCCCACAAATTACTTAAGACCTAAACCCAGGTCTCCTTTTGCTTGTCCAGGTGCCAACCCGCGGAGAAGGCCCCTGAAGCCAGCTGACCGGGGAGCCATACCTTTGGTGCTGTCATAGATGATATTCTTGCAGAGTAGGTCGTTGTGACAAAATACCACAGGGGAATCCAGCTGGGACAGGTGCTCCTTCAGCCAGGCCAGCTCCCATTCCAACACCTCCACCGTAGGGACATCTGCAGAAAGGCTAGGCAGTGACAAAAAAGGTGGCCGGTGGAGGGAGGGCTGATAGTAGATGGGCAGATGCTTGGCCCGAGAGCCCTGAGTTTGAGCCTCGTCGCTCCCTCCCTCTTACTGCAGAGGAACCTTGGACAAATGGCCAAGCTTGCAGGCCCTCCCTTTCATCCTCTGTAAAATGGCTGCAAGACTTCCTGTCCTTCTGTCTCCTGTGGTTATGCTAAGAAGCTGATTAAAACATGGGCATAAAAGCATTTGGCAGAACATAAAAGTCATTGACCGACAGCATCCCCGCTGCTTTGTGGAGGGGATGAGGAGGAAGGAAAGAGACACAGGGAAAAGACAGGGGAGGTGAGGACGAACGTCCAGACTCGAAGATCCCACACAGAGAGGACAAGGGTAACAGGGGTGGCGGGGACAGATGCAAACCAGCCCTGGGTTCAGGACGCTGGGGAACAGCCTTGGGCGAGGCACAGCTCAGATGAGACTCTGCCCCAGAGTTCCTCCAGCGGAGGGATAACAGTGGCCTGGGACGGGGCTGGAGCAAGGTGCTCTCTTGAGGAGGCAGAGGTATGTCCTAGCCGCCGACAGTGTCACAGGCAGAAGGGACCAGAGAGACGGTCTGGTCTTACCTCCCATCTCACAAACAGACCATTTGGGCCCGTGTAAGAGAGCAAACAGAGCGCTTCTGGGGCTCAGTCCTACAACGCCTGGGGAGCACTGAGGCCTTCCCACGGGACGGCACTTGCTCTGTTGCTCCGATAGCTTCTCCCTTCCACCTGGGAGTATGAGTGTGTGTTCCCTCGTCCCAGCCCCCTATTGCACCACGTATGGGCAACTGGAGGGCAGGGACAGAGAAGTCTTGAGCCCACCCCTCCCTCTGCCCTGCCCCAGCACGCAGCCGCCATTTCTGCTGACAGAAACGCGTGCTGAGGAATGAACGTATCAGTCAATGACGTTACCGGAGGCCGTGCAGAGGTTCAAGCAAGGCTACGTTGTGCCCAGATGCTCTGAACTTTGCTCCCCGGGATGCACACAGGTCTGTGTACACTGAAAAGGCCAAACAGCACAACCCTTAAAAACCCAGAACCACCAATGGCGAGAGGGGAGGAGGCTGGAGTTTTATCTCCACTCATGTGTCTCCTGTTTACATTTCTTCGTCCAGGGCAGCAAGAGCATGTGGAGGAGGATGAGAATGAGATGTGCCCTCTGTCACCTGCCCACAGGACAGCGCGGTCACCCCCTGACCCATCCCAGAGGCCAGAGCATGGGGAAGAGTATTCGGGGACCAAGGCATCCCCATGTCCCCTGTGGAAAGGGAGGAGAGGGCAGGCTCTCTTCCAGGCTTTGAGAAGGTCAAAGCAAAAGAGGATCTCAGGTCATCTTAGATTGGCCCCATGGGGAAACTGAGGCTCAAGGAAGGAGAGAGGCTTCCGTCCAGCCTCCAGTGATCTCTTCACAGCCAGATGCTCTACTTCCTCGTCTAAGCACAGCAGTCCTCAGCCTGTCCAAGGGTCCAAAACCGAGTTGTGTCTCCTAATTGTGAGGGCTGTGCACTGTCCCCGAAGCCCCTCAGAGGCTCTGCAAAGGCCTCTCTGAGTCCAGGGAGGCTGTGGGAGGGGCGACACCGAGGAGGCTGCCCGGCATCTTTACCGGAGTTTATCTGTGTTGACGGGTCTGCACAAGCTGCGTTTCAGTCTCGGCTCTTATAAGAAGCTACCTTTCCTTTTAAGCTTTTTTCTTTTCTTGGACGGAGACCATCAAAAGATAAGAATTAAGAGGCTTCCTTTGGTTTGCCCATGTCCCAGCCTGGAAAACATCTCTGTCATCTAGGACGCCTGCTGCTCAGTCCCTGACCTCTGCCTGACCCCCGCCCTGCGCACCGCAAGGCCACGCAGATGGTTACTGTAGGAGCCGTCCAGGCCTTCTATCTCCCTGGGGGCCCCCTGGGAGGCTGTGCCACCCTCCCCTGCGCACTTGAACCATCGCCAGCTTCTCTACCTTCAGTCCTGCTGCCTCTAGACTCCGTCAAGGCTGTGGAACCCGCAGAATAGTAACCACCACCGCATCCCAGAAACAACCCAGGGAGAACTGCTCCCTGCCCTCAGAGACAGCAGGTAGGGGGCTGAAGGCGCCGGGGGCTTCCCCAGGGAGGCTTTGTGGTTCCCACTGATAAAGGCATTGAAAGTCCCTGGCAAGTCTCCACTCTGCTCTCAGGACCTGGGCAGGGCAAAAGTATTCTACCCGCAGGGGACCTTCTACGTGTTTGAGCATACTGGCTTGACACCTTGGCCCTCCCACCAGCCAAGCCATCAGTATCTCTTCGTGATGCCCCAGAACCGGTTATCAGCCCCGCATTCTCCCAGCCGCCCTAGACACCTCCAACCCAACACCGAGGCTACCAAATGTATTTCCACAGGTCTCTGACACATCCCCTATTCTCCCCCTTTTGCCACCCCACCTGACCCCTGACCCCAGCCCCTAAACTGCCCTATGGAAATGTGCCTCAAATATCGTTCCTTGATCACCTGCCTCAGAATCTCCTGGGGAACCTATCAAATGCAGCTGCCTGGGGCCTAATGCAAGACCTCTCAATCAGTCTCCGAGGTCGGGGGGACTCTTATGCTCAAAGTTTGGGAAGAAACTTTAGGACAAGTCCTAGGTCTTGTGCATTTAATTACACCACTCCCCCAGCCGGTCTCCCTTCCTCAAATCCACCCCACCCCAAGTCTGTTCCTTACAATGCTGCAGAGCTTTCTTCCTAAGCCCCATCCTGGTCAGGTTACAGACCTGAGTCTCTGGCTCAAACATCTTCACGCGCTCCTGCAGCCTGCTGACTTCAATCTCGGCTCCTTAGCCTGGCATGTAAGGCCCCTCACCACCTAGCTCCAGCTCTGCAGGCCCCGCACTTGCCCAAGCCCTCCCAGGTCCTCCCAAACACCTGCTCCAGCCACCCTCATCTACTCGTCATCCGTGAGCAAACCCTGCTCAAGCCGTCTCCTCCAACTGGAGCGGCCCCCTTCTCCTCTCTGCCATCCCACCTCTGCCAAGGTGGCTCTCACCGTTCTCCCACCCCCAGCACACACTGCACACCCCGCCTTCTTCTGCAGCTGTGCATGAGCATGTCCTATTTATCCGGATGGCTCCTAAGCTCCTCTAGGGCAGGGCCAATGTCTCACTCATGGCCTTTTATTGTTTTAAATCCCAGTCAATCAATGTCTGTGAAATGACGGATTGAATAAATCGGGGTTATTAGGCCGTGACTGGAGCTCCAGGTGCTTTATCTGGTCTCGATGATTGCTCACCGTAGCCCTGCTTCAGGGCAGGTTAGGCCATTTGGGTCAGGGATCATTCCCTAAAGAGGCTCAAAGATTTGCCCAAGGTCAGAGGTGTGACAAAAGCAAAGAGAGTTGGTCAGTCCCCTCCAGTGACCACTCTCCTCCCAGCAAGTTTACCCCATAAGGTCACATGGTGACAACGTGGTCAAAGGAAGCTGCAGTGCCAGGGACCAATCTGAGCACCAGGAGGCCTGGACTCTAGTCCCTGAGCTGCTACTGATCAGCAATGACCGTAGGCAAGTCGCATCCCCTCTCTGGGCCTCAGTTTTTCCATCTGTTGAATGAAAGCAATAGGCTAGAGGGTTGGAGGGACCTGTATTCCATGAGCTGTCCTAGCCCTGAGGGAGAAAGCAGTCATTGTCCCAGAGAGACGATTTGACATAGAAGGTCTGAACACGGTCAAAGAGAGGGCAGGCTTGGGCCACCCTGGACAAACTGTCTCAAAGACAGGGCTTGATAATCATTACATGGGAGGATCCAGATAAAGTCGTGCATGTGTGCGACAGAGACGCACTCACAGTCGGGACAGAGTTAGTCATTAACTTGTCATCTTGCAGGAGGGAAGGAGATACCCTTCCCTAAACCTCTTCTGCACCCTACTCCCATGCACATTTGGAACACAGGTGATGTTCAACCCCAGCAGGGAGCAAGGAGGGATGAGAGACTCACTACTCCTTGGGGTTTGTTTTGTTTTGTTTTCGGGGGTGGGTAGGCGGGACACCACTCTTTCCTCCATGCCTCCATCGTTTTGTCAGCACGCAGGGTGTGCTGGGGAATCAGGTGTCTGGAGGCTAGCAGGACTCTCACGTTGTTGGTTCAGGCGCTTAAGGAAGTTCAGGGAAGCCCGTCCTAGCTGGGCAAGGGCAATGTCGGGATGGGGGTGCACTTCCTTCCCTGGAAAGCAGTGAAGGAAACAGCAAGCTGTCGATCTGAACGAGGTGGGGGGCAATGTCGCCAAAGGTACGTGGGGACAGAAGGGGTCCAGGCAAGTCCCGAGGGCTTGCTGGTTGATGAGTTGAGTTCTTCCGACTGACTCTGAGCTCTGCTCATGTTCAGAAGGCAGCTCAGGTGGAAAGAGCCCTGGGCTGGGAAACAGAAGCCCTGCCCCTCACTAGTCCCATGACACTGGGCAAAGCTCAGACTCTGAGCCTCAGGATCCTGCGAGCAACACGGGGAAGTGTTATCCCTGACCATGGTCCCTGCCACAGTCAGAAGACTCAAGGAGAAATAAGAGCATAAATGTAAAACTGCTGATTAAGTTCCTGAGGTTGAGTCAATGGCCCAGCAACCAGGACCGAAAGGGCTGCAGGCAAGACTGCTCAGTCCCCTCTCTGAGCCCTGGGCCCCCGCACCTCCCATCAGGGTGGGCTGGAGCCAAAAGAAGGGGAGGGGAGATATTAAGGTGGTACAGACAGTGGCAGCCTGGGACCCCCCCAGATCTTGTACCTGGGGTTGATCTCGTTCTTCACAAGCGTGAAATAATTGTGCATCTTGTGCCAGAGGGTGGGCTTGGGCAGACTGCCGTTGGCGTGGATGCTATGAATCTTGGCCATTTCTAAGGCGATTAACCTACAGCAGAGACAGGAAGAGTGGAAAGTATCAGTGCTGGGCATGCCCCCCCCACTCAGCCCCTCATGACCTGAAAAGGGCCCTACAGGGTCCACCAGGGCAGTAGCCAGAGGGCCAAGGGTGGGATTATTACGAGTCTCCCAGGAGCCTAAGTCCTGCAGGAGGAAGGTCTGAAGAGAAGGCATGAGCGTGAAATAAGACCTTTAGCCTAGTAGCTCCCTTTCTGGGACCAGGCTGGGGCTGCTTCGGGGAGCAGGAGGTCAAAGTAGTGGGCTTTGGCCACAGGTCAGCAGCCTCGCCCCACCCCAGCGTACTCACGGCAACTTCTGAGAGCAGAGGGGCACCTGGGGACGGGGGCGGCCCACCTCCCCAGGACTCTGACCCATCCTCTCAGGGGAGGCGAACACAGGTCACTGTGCACTCGGAGCTCACGGGGTGGCGATGCCAGGCAGAGAAGAAATGCCTGCCTCTTATCGGCTGGCCAAGGTGGGGAGGGAAACAGGCTGGCCCCGGGCAGCCCCCTCCTCGGCTACAGGGAGTTGATGCTGGTGGCGAGGTGCCAAGGACGCAAAACAAACCAGTGTTCTATTTTCAAGTTCTCCTGTGGACATTATCCAAGGTCCCGGGAGAGAAGGAGTGGGCGGGCGGTAGGGAAGGTTGCTGGGAGAGGGTGAGGGTGGACAGAGGACTGGCTGGTCAGAGAGGAAGGGCCTTGATAAGGACCCCATGGCCTGAGGCCTGTGTCCCAGCTAGGCTCTCCCAGTCCTCTGCCCCCACTGCCTTCTACAGCCCCACCCCCAACCGTCTGCCAAGCCTCCAACATTCAAGCCTCCTTGCTCTGCCTGTTGCTCGAATAATAATCACTGGGAAAGACAATAAAGGCATTGGCTATTGGAAACCTTGTTACCGGAGCTGTTCCTGGGACACCCTCTTCCCCTGCTGGGCCCTGGGAAGGGGCAGGCCATACCCTACTGGGACAACAGGGCAGTTTCAGGGCTCCTCCAGAAGCCCCCAAGGCTCCCACCTCCTAAAACATGGAGGGGGCAGGGGGCGTGGCAGCAACCATGTGGGTGAGAGAGGAAGGCTGGGCCTTCAGAGACCAAAGGCCCTGGGGCAGAAGGGAGGCTGCCAGGATTTGGGCAAGGCAGGGAAACAGACCTGAGACCCAGGCCTCCCCTTCCCAAAGGAAGATTCCGAACAGAGCATGAACAGAGCGTTTCCTTGAATATCAATAGGGCTGTTGTCTGGAATAGCAATGAAAGTAACCTCAACACTCAGCATTTTTATGCTGCAAAGCCCCAGCAGGCAGAGGTTGGGGGGTGGGGTTCAGAGGAACATGGGAGGGAGGACTCTGAACCCTTCCCCTCAGACAACCACTTTCACCCAAGAGGGATGTGGTCGACCCAGGGAAAATCATCAAGGAAGGGCATACCTCCTACACCTACCCTAATTTCTAGCTCTCCCCCAAATGCCAAGTTGTCTTCTTATGGAACCTAAATCCACCTTCAATCTTCCTGACAATGGTAATTGTTTGCATGAGAGGATGAGTGACAGCATCAGAATCATTGGTGGAGGGAGCCTGGGAGTGGTGAGGGCCTGCCAATATTGGAGCTTATCTGTACAAGATTGAGGAAGAGGTAGGAGAAGCCAGGACAGGGTCCCCTGCACCCTGCTCTGACCTTGCATCTCCAGTCTGGGCATATTTGGAGCTGCTCAGGCAGCTGGAGCCTGAGAAGACCCCTGCACGGGTTGGTATGTGTCTCACTTTCCCCCGAGACACAGACACACACACAGAGTTACAGTACACAATGCAAATATCCTGGGGTCCTGACCAGCCCCAGAGACAGCAGCATGGGGGGAGGGACTCTCACATTCCCTTCTTCTAAGTCTCTCGGGGTGGAGGGTGCAAGTAGAGCCAGGTGCACTTACTTGGGGCTAAATGGGTGGCAGGTGAGGGAGCAAAGCAGCGTCCTGGTCTACCCCCAGGTGGGCTTCATTGTTTTGGTATGTGAAGTCTCCTTCCCCTTGGACTGAACAGGGCAGATGCCAGGGGTCCCAGGCAGACCCCTGCGCTGCTGTCCCATGTCAGGAGCAAACCTCAGCTTGCCTGGGTTCTAGTCTGAGTGCCGCTCACGTGGGTCACGGCATTGGAGGGAGGAAGGAAGACACTGCCTGCTATCCCTCTCCTGGTCCAGGCCAGGGGAGAGAGAGCATACTAGGGGCCCTTCTTTGGTTCTTCTTCCAGGCCCCACAGTGGCGTCCACAGTGCTTGAAAGTGTAGTTCTGGGCCCCACACATCCAAGCATTTACTGGGAAGAGCTCCCCAGAGGCCGTTAATTTTTGTGAGCCTCTGGAAGGAGGCCTCGGCTGTTCCTCAAACCTGGGTTCCCTCCTTGTTAGGGAGCACAGAAGGAGATCAGACCGGCAGGAGAGATGACATCTCTGTGGGCGGTAAAGCCATGCTCCACCTGGATAAGGCCCATTTTCCTTGCACACCCGAGCTCCTGGCAGAAGGTGGGGAGGGGCAGGAAACCCTAAGTGCCCTGGGGATTTGGCTCATATTTCGTTTCCAAGGCTCTGAGATGTTTCCAGGTCAGGTTTGGGGTGGAAAGAGGTTTGAGGCCTGCGGCTAGGAAGCAGATCTCTGCTGCATTTAGGGAATCGGGTCCTTTGGTCCCACGTTCATCAAAACTCACACTTTCCTCCCCAGCAACGCATCCTTCTAGCAGACCCCACTGAAAATCTACAGAAAGCTACAGCCTCTCTCTGCAGAGCAACGCACATAAACACACACCCTTTTTCCAGGCAATTCCAGGGAACTCACAGATCTTGTGACTATTTTCCATGGGCCCCACTCTACACCAAGGAAGGTGACCAAGAATTTAAATGCCAAAGCTGGAAGAGTGGGAGAGATGAAGGCCCTGACACCCTCCTCACCTGAAGAGCCGGGGCTCACGAATGTGCTCGGGCCCCAGGGCCATACCCTGCATGTACTCGTAGCACAGCCCATTCTGGAAGGTGCAGTAGAGTTTGGGGGCACAGCCGTGTGTTCGCAGCAGCTGGAAGTTCCTGACCTCATTCTCCCGGTCCACCAGCAGCTCTGTCCGCTCCCCGTACACCCGGACCAGCACGCAGTCCCGCATGTCCTCCTCCACGTAGCAGGCCAACAGCTTGTTGGTGATGCCATCAGTGAAGCGCTAGCATTGGGAGAGGGCAGTGCATGGGTGGGTGGGGCAGAATCTCTCTGGTCTCCCCCAGGGCTCCCCAGCTCCAGCAGCAGGTGTTCATTTGAATGCTGAGCACAACCACACAGAACCCCCAGTCCTTTGGCCCTGTCATTCGTGCTCTACCCTGTCTCCAACCTTGGGAGTCTCCAGTCTATAGAGTTCAAGGAAAAAAATGGCAGCTTGAGCTCAGCCCAGGCACACCCGCTTTCCCTGGTCTGCCTCTAGTGGGTGGGATTTGACAGCGGAGGAATTTCCACACTACTCCATGGGTAGAAGCCCTCGCCACTCCTTGCTCCTCCATCCTGGCCCTGAAAGAAACCCCGTGGACCAGATTGTGGCAGAGGAGGGCCGGGAGCTGCCCAGGACAGTATATCCCGACCAGCTGCCTCTCACCTCCTGCCTGGCAGAGAGGGCTCTGCTGTACCTCTTGCCCCACCCAGCGGCAGTGGCACAAGGAGGGTTCTGAGGTTGGCACGCATCCCAGGACTGTGGTGGTCAGAGGTCCCTAGGGCCCCAGAGTGCCATACCAAAAAAGACAGGAGACAACTGGGCTGGGAGCACAGGCTCTCTGGGCAGGGTGATAAGGAGAAAGGAAGCATGGAATTTATGGGGCACAATGTGACAGAGCGCGCAGGGGCCTTAGAGGACATCCGAACCAATTCTAAGTGGGGAAACTGAGGCCAAGAGAGGGGAGGGACTGGCAGATGGCAGGTTAGGTCAGTGTTGGAATTAACCTCAGGCCTGTTTGATGCCTTGACAATCTTACGCCAAACTGGGCCTTTTATAATGCTACCGCTCCCCACGACGGGCCCGTCAGCCTCCACGCTGGATCAGGAACCTCACCAGAACTTGGCCTTTCCCCACCCAGAAGGCCCATCAGCACGGAGCCCCTCCCACTCCAGCACAAGCCGCGAGCACCCCACTCAGCACCTTCCGCCACAGGCGGCCCACAGAGGGGAAGGGCGCGGGTGAGCAGGTGAGGGCTGTTTTCAGAGACTGCGGGTCAGCTAGGGGAATCGGCCTGGGCCTCCTCTGCCCACAGGTGTGTCCTGGAGAATGTGTCCAGCGGGGTGTAGGGGGTGCTGAGCCCGAGCCCGCAGCGACAGTGAGGGGCTGGTGCTAGCCAGAATTCCACAGGGTGGCTCCTGGGACCCGCAGGGGCAGCTCAGGTTCTGGAGGCTTCGCTCTCACCATGGGGTGGAGAAGGGGCAGCAATGCGTGTGTAGGGAGGGGTTCCCTGAAAAGTTCCTGCCTCCTCAGGTTTCAGAGCGGGCTGGGACGCGCTTCTGGGCAGCGAGGGGCACCAGCACGCGGCGACAGGGGGTGGCCCGCACGCGCAGCACGCTGCCGGGTGGGCAGGTGGACCTCCGGCGTGCCCGGCAGCCCAGGAGGAGGGGGGCGTGTGGAGGGCCGCGGGAGGTGCGCGCCTAGCTTTGTTTAGGGACGAAAATAGATGGAGAAATAAAAACGCACAAACCACGTTCCAAACCTCGCCCGCGCAGCAGCCGCGCACTCCCGGGACCGACACCCGGAAGGATGCACGGACAGGCGTCCACGCATCCCGCTGCAGCCCCGGCGCGGCCCCGGCCCCGCGCCCGCCCCGCTACCTTGGTCCGAACTTGCTCGGGCTTCCAGTGCGGCCGCAGCTCCTGGATGAGGCGCAGGGCGCCGGGGAGGATGTCGTCCTGCTCCACCGATACGCCGAAGTACGGGACGGCGGCGGCCCGCTGGGGGCCCGGCGGCTCCCGGCAGCTCGCGCTGGCCGCCGCCTTCTCCTCCATGCCCCATGAGCACTGCGGGCAGGGCGCGTGCCTCCTCAGGTGAAGGGACGAGCGCGGCAGAGGAGCCGAAGGGGGCACAGCCATTCCCAGCAGCCCCACCCCCTCGGAGCCGCCGCGCTAGCGCTCGCCCCGGCGGGGGGGCCCGGCGAGGCGGTGGGAGTGGTAGAGGAGGGGCCAGGGGAAGTCCATGACTCAGACGCGAGCTGCCCGCTTCGATCGCCGGCTCGCAGCCCGGCGCCCGCGGCCGACCCGGGAACGCCGGGGCCCGCCGCGATTGTGACATCACGGGCGGCGAGCCGCGGGAACGCCCCCGGCCCGCCCCCGCCCCGGCCCGCGGGCCGCCGGGGAGCGCAGCCCGCCGCCGCCGGCAGCTGCGGCCGCCGCTACCTGGAGCGCGGGGCGGGGGCGACGCCCCCCGGGAGGCCGGTGACGCCGGGGGCGGGGCTTGCGGAGGCCCCGCCCCACCCGGGTCCCCACCCGGGCTGCCCCGGGCTGGGGGTCGCTCTCTGCTGGTAGCCTGGGGCAAGAGCGGGCTCCCTCTGCGCCCCCACCTCATCCTGGATTATAGGGATCTAGCTGCTCCTAAAGCGTCAGCTTGGGCTCTCCCCTCTGTGCCCCTGCTCCCTGCCCCCAATCCCTGAACCCCTGGAAATGGGTCTGCAGGAGCGGTCTCTGCTGCATCTCAAAAGCTCTTGCTCACAGGAAGCCCCCAGGCAGACTTCCCCTACACACACACTCGGTGGAGAGGGGACCTTGGGTCATGGTGTTGTGGGCGAGCGTGCCGGTGCAGCAGACTGGACTGTCCCGTGACGGGCCACCGAACATTTCAGGGCATTGGAGTGTTTGGACACCTTCCAATTGAGGAAGATTAAGTTTTGGTCACTAAATGATCCTTGAAGCCTCCGTCCCATCCTGAGAGTCTGCCTGGAGGCGAGTAGTAGGCAAGCGGGTGTCCTTGCTGGGTGTGGAGTGGGCAGGCCCTGAGCTGGCTCTGGGGAGGAAAGGTGAGGGGCTGGTCCCCGCAAAAGGACCAAAGCAGGATGTGGTGATGGCTGGGGAGTGGGAAGGCAGAGGAAGGGGTGGCAGGGTGTCCTGGGGCAGGGTTGCTATGGGGAGAGACAAGGCCACCTTAGGGGAAAGCCCCTCTGCTAGCCAGACTCTCCTTTCGTCATTCTCTGTCACCTCCTGAGCAGGACTTTGTTGGCCACCAGCCCTCTTTGTCACTGTCCTGTTCCACCTCAGGGACCTCACTGGTCACAATCTCTCACTGCCCCACTCGGAATAGTGCCTACATAGAAGGGGCCCTTTTCTGTTTCCTGGAGTTGTCTCTTTGGCCTGTTCTGGAACCTTCTCAACCACAAGGGCCCTATGATCCTTGCTGTTCAGAATCCAGCTCTGCCCGGCAGAACCTCTGCGATGATGGAAATATTCTATAGCTGTCCTGTTCAATGCAGTGGCCACTAGCCCACATGTAGCTAACCCGCACTCAAAATGTGGCCAGTGTGACATTTTATTCAATTCCGATTAGTTTTTATTTGAATGTAAATAGCCGTTTGTGGCTTTTGGATAATGTAGGAGGTGACGAGGGGGCTGCTTTCTTAAGGTCATAGAGCCCAGGATGTTGGAGCTAGAAAGAAAATTGCCTCCGACCCTCCCTTTGGCAGCGAGGAAATGAAGCTACACGGCGCACAGGAGCATGGACAATCAGCGGGAGTCCAGGGTCCTGCACCCAGGCTCGTGCTCCTGGCTCTGCAGATATCTGCTGCCTGTGGGAATATTGCCCTAGACAAGTGCTGGAGTCCCAAGTCCTGGAGCCGGAAGATGGCAGAGTGTGTGCGTCTGTGCACTTGTGCACGTGGCCCCATCCCAGCGGCCTTGCACACAGTGTGAAGCTCTGTGCTGTGACAGCACCAACTGCATGTGACGAGGTAGAAAGCACCCGGGACGTGAGTCGGACCGGCTGGGTTCTAGTCTGGAGTCTTCCTCACCTTTCAATATTCTTCACACTTGGTTCTTCACCAGGTAATCTTGGCCAAATGCCTCCATCCTCTGGGCCTCACCTTCCCCAGGAAGAATTGCCAGGATCTCTGGTGTTCTGTCTTTAGGTGACAGTGCCGTGGCCAGCCTGTGGACACGGCCACGTGGGCCAGGGCTGGGGCATCCACGTGGATGGGAAGCAGAGCTGAGGGTGTTTTGCAGGGCACAAAAGGCAGGGCTCGCTCGCTCAGCAGCGCAGAGCCTGAGCTCAGAACTGGTTTCTCTGAGCGTGAGTACCGTTCTGACCCACAGTCTACTGCCACAGCGTCAGCCTGGGCCCCTGAGGGGGTCAAGGGGGCACGATGCTGGCTCTCTGCAAACTTCCCACCCTTGGTTGTATTGTCAGCTCCACCTGAGCCCTGTTGACAGCGGATGCATGCCATCGTCCCTGCAGGAACCCGTGCGGGGAATGTGTCCTTTGTCAGTCTGTGTCACATTCCTGTCCACACACGACCATGCAGCTGCCCCTCCCTCTGTTCCAAACACCAGTGAACCCAGACCAACAGGTTGTGAACATGAAGTCTTTATTCTGATTGTCCTCAAAGCGGGGAAGGACTGGTGCAGGAGGCAGGGCAAGCGTCCAGCAGGAGCTCCACGCCCAGTGTCCCCGTGTGAGGGCACAAGTCCAGGCAGCGGGGGATCCCAGAGGATGCTCCTGATCTGGGCTAGGGCCGAGGACTGGGCCCGCCTGGGCTGCAGAGGGCCTCAGCGGGCCAAGGCAAAGCCAATGCGATTGTTATGCCGATCAAACTCTGTATAGAACTTGCGGATGAAGCTGGCGCCCAGGACCCAGATGGGCCCAGTGGGCGGTGGGATGTCCATGCCGTGGAACGCCAGTGTGCACAGCTTCTTATTCCTTTTGGAGTCCTGGCAGGAAGGGAGACGGTTTCGGCATGCTCAGCATGTGACCATTCTCCCTTCGCCTTGCCTGACCCCACAGCTATCTCCGGCAACGTTCCCCTCTCCCCATATCTCACCCCTATCCCCGCTGGGCCTCCATGGCATCGTGGCTGTCTTAACCCGTCATGGATCGCATCCCTCCTGGATGCGGGCACGGTGCTAGACGCCAGGAGCTTACAGTCTAGCTTAGCTTCTCATCCTAGACAACTTCTCATCCTATTTAACTTCTCTGAGCCTATTGATTATGAAAAGAGGGTAAGAATATAGGAGCGTAGGATCACTGGGAGCATTTGATGAGAAAATGGAGATGAGGGACAAGCACCGCGATCACAAACATGGCAGCACATCGGAATCACCTGGGAAAACTCAGGCGAAGGTGCCACTCCTAGAGGTGCTGGTTTAATAGGTATGGCATGTGGCCTGGGTACTGGGGTTTTTAAAAGCTCTCCAGGTGACATGTGCGGCCAAGTTGAGCACCACTGGCCTAACTGATAATCTGTGCATTGTAGCTTGTCCCCCTTCAAGGGCCCCTGCCCACCCTTCCACCCTGCCGCGGGGCCGACTCCAGCCTCACCTGCAATACGTAGTCCGCACTGGTGAGTGTGTAGGCTCTGCCTCCCAGGTGGAAGGAGATGTCGGGGAGTGTGGGCACCTGCTGACATTTCACGACATACTGGAGGGGATAAAGGGAGCTCTTTGGAGTGTGGGAAACCTCTCAGCAGACAAGGAGCCCTGTGCTGTGGGCAGCTGCTAGAGAGGGCGGGGCACGGGACCCTGCCTCTGTGGGGGACCAGCCGCACGTGTGGAGCGTGAGGGGCAGCAGGGGAAGGCCAGAAAAGGCTTCGTTTGGGACTTGATGCTGCCTGGGGGGACTTGGGGGCCCGGACCAGTCGTGTTGCCCCCATGGCCAAGCCTCCCCCCTCGCCTTCTTACCTTATTCTTGCTCCTCTGCTTCTGGGCCCCCAGGGCCTCCATGAGCAGCTGCAGGGAGCTGGTGGGACCCGAGATGTAGGACGCGCCGGTGTCCACCGCTGCCACACAGCCCTCCTCGCAGAGCAAGGTGGCCGACCTCACAGACACCCTGGGGGAGGCCGCAGTCAAACAGAGGCTGAAGGGGCACCTCTAGGCTGCATGTCTTTCCTGAGTGAGAGCAGGTGGCTGGAGGCCATGCTGGGAGCCAGTGATGCATTGGAGGAGGGGTGAGGCAGTGAGTGGAGGAGGGAAGGTGCTGTCCCCTCCACCAGCCCATGGCTTAGTGCCCCTCTACCGCCTCTGCCTAGGCCCCCTCGCCCTCCGTTCCTCATATCTTGGAGTTCCCCAGCCTGGACAGAGCAGGTAGAGAGCAAATGGTGGCCATACCTTAAGAAGCGGCTGCATTTGGAGAGGGGGTGGGATGGTAAGCCTGCCCCTCCACCACCCACCCCTCCCCCGGGGGCAGCGGCATTTGTGGAACATGGGGAGGGTTGAGGATTCCTGACCCCTTCATTTTGATCTGCCAAGCGCTGGCGTTGCCGATGCTCACGTAGTGGAAATTCCCTTGGTAGTACTGGGGGTCGCTGCCTCCCAGCACGATCTCTCCCCCCAGGAAGTGGGAATTCCTAAAGGAAAGATCAGAAGTTCTTGGAGACCCACGATCTCCAAGACCGGCAACTCAAGCAACAAGGGGACGCTGGGCAAGGGTGCAGGGTAGGGTAGAGGAAGGTAGGACAGATGGCAAGGTTCGGAGCTGTCACTGCGAAGCACGCAGAACATAACGCTTCTCCGCCTTTCTTGCCGCCCCCCACCCCCGAGCCCAACCAGAAGCTTTTCCAGGGTAGTCCAGCTGCGCTTAAAACACGTCCGCAGAGGGGTCACAGGAGAGGAACAGGTACAAGGCCAGTGAGTAGATGCAAACAAGATGCAAACTGGCGCCCTTCACTTGTGTTTGGGTTGCTGCTGGTTGAGCAGGTGCATGGGAGGGGACTCTGGGGAGGCTGCTGGGTGGGGGCTGGGGGCGGGCATGGAGACAGCAGGAAGGAGGGGCAGAGAACTTCAGCGTCCAGTGGAGCCTGGGCCTGCTGACATGAGTTTGGGGCAGGTGACGTGTGTGATTCTGGGTCAGGTGCAGAGGGAGTACTGGAGGGTCAGGGCCACGTGAAGGGTTTCGTCTCCTTACGCGGAATTTCTGCAGAGAAAGCGAGACAGCAGAAAGGAAGCCCTCATTTCACACGAGCCTCCCCAGGGTGGGTGTTATGCACTCTTTTTTACTCTTCAGGTAATGGAGTCGCCTAGAGGTGAAATCACTTGCCTGAAGTCATCCAGGCCATGAGTGGATGAGTAGGGCCTGGAGCCAATTGCCCTCACCCTCCTCCCTTCCCCTCTGCACGGTGCCTCCCTCAGCTCAGGGGCTACCAAAGGGCTGGTTTCCAGAGTGCGCATGTGCCTGTGTGTGTGGGCGTGTAGGGGTGCACGTGTCATTTTGTGCAACTGTAAATTCCTT